TACTGGAATCTAGTTTTAGTGTTCTGCAGGTGGAAATCCAGTTTTCCCCACACCATTTACTGTAGAGACTATCTTTTCTCCAGAGAATATTTTGGGCTCCTTTGTCAAAAATGAGATGATTGTAGTTGCATGGGTTTGTTTTGGGGTCTTCTATCTTTTCCATTGGTTTTCATGTGTGTTTTTGTGCCAGTTCCATGCTATTTGCTATTTTTATTACTATGAGTCTATAGTGTAGTTTGAAGTCAGGTATTGTGACACCTCTAGTGTTGCTCTTTTAACTCAGGATTATTTTGGCTATTCGAGGTCTTTATGATTCCATATGAACTTTAGAATTGACATTTCTATGTTGCTGAAGAATGTCACTACAGAATTTTGTTAGTAATTGCATTTGAACATATAAATTGCTTTCGGTAGTATAGTCATTTTCACAATATTGATTCTGCCAATCCATGAGCATGAGATGTCATTCCATCTTCTAATATCCTTGTTGATTTCTTTCTTTAGTGATTTGTAATTTTCATTGACTATAGGTGACCAATAGGTTGGTCACCTCCTTCATTAGATTTATTTTAATTTTTTGAAGCTATTGTGAATGGTACTGTCTTCCTGATTTCTTTCTCAGACTGGTCATTGTTTGTATATAGAAATGCTACTGATTTTTGTGCATTGATTTTGTTTCTGGCTACTTTGCTCCTAAAATATTCTAGAAAACCAGTATTACCCTAATACCAAAGCTAGGTAAGACATTCAAAGAAGGAAAGGTATAGGCCAATATCCCTGGTGAACATATATGTAAAAATCCTCAATAAAATACTTGCTAACAGACTCCAACAACACACTAAGATACTACACCATGATCAAGTAGGTTTCATTCCAGGGATGAAAGGATGGTATAACATAAACAAATCAATACAGGTAATACAACACATAAACAGAATCAAAATCAAAAACCACATTACCATCTCAAAAGATGCAGAAAGGGTCTTCAATAAAATGCAGCATCCTTTCATGACAAATGCTCTGAAGAAACTAGGAGTCAAAGGTACTTTCTTCAACATTATAAAGGCTATATATGAAAAACCTATAGCCAACATCATACTCAATGGGGAAAAACTGAACGTATTTCCTCTAAAATCAGGAACAAGGCAAGGGTATCTGCTTTCCCCGATCTTATTCAACATACTAGTGGAATTCCTAGCCAGAGCATTAAGAGAGGAGTAAGAAATACTTACTTCTATTTGCAGTTGATATGATCTTATACATGAAAGACCCTAAAAACTCAACCAAAAACTCTTTTCTTTTTTTTCTTTTTGCAGTGCTGGGGTTGAACCCAGGGCCTGGAGAATGCTAGGCAAGTGCTCTACACCTGAGCTACATCCCCAGCCTCAACCAAAAACTCTTAGATCTCATAAATACATGGAACAATTTGTTGTTGGTGTGCTGTGTGATTTTCTTCACGTTTCTTGTATTCTCCTTAGGAGTGACTCATGGTAGAAGACAGTACAACAACACCTTTAAAACACTGAAAGTAAATCTTGTCATGTATTCATATATAAATGGATTGAATTTTGGGCCCTTGTGTTTGAAGCTTACTTACCTGCCTGGACCTGTGGATTGATAGGTTTTCTTGTTAATCAAATTTCATCTAAGTTTTTGATCTTTTCCATACTGCATTTGCTAGCTAGGCAAGTGCTCTACCACTTGAATCACACATCCAATCCTTGCCACTATGACTTGAAATATGTTTTTTTCTGTTTCACTTCTCTACCTCTTTCTCTTCTCTGCAACTCCTATAGCAAGCTTAGTAAGCTTCCTAAAGTTGTCCCACAACTCTTGGATGCTCTGTTATTTTTTTCTCACTGTATTTTCTCTTTGCACTTTGTTTTGCTGTATCTTGAAGTTTAGCATTCTTATCCTCTGCTATGTCTAATCTGCTCTTAGTCATAGGCAGTGCTTCTTAATTTAGACACTCTTGTTCTCATCTCAGGTGTTTGATTTACATTTTTTATAACTCTCATTTGCACTTACATTTTTTAACATATGAGTTACAGGTATGCTTACTATATTAATGTGTTTGTGTATTGATTCTTCATCTGTGCTAAAGATGTAGGTTGGTTTCATTTAGTTGACTGATCTCCTCAAAATGGGTCCATTTTTATAATCTTTTTCTTTGCCAGTTGATTACTTACAAAAAATGAGAAAAAAGAAAATCAGTGACCACATATGTTTGGTAATCTGTTTATCTATCTATCATCTATCTGGCTATCTATCTATCTATCAACTAATCTATCTAATCTATGGAGATCAGCATCCAACCCAGGGTTTTGTACATGTTTGTCTACATTAGTGCTGTACCACTGACCTGTTTCCCCAGTTCTGGGTAATTCTTGAATTGTTTATTTTCTCATGATGAGTGCCTCCAGTTTTTGTATTCCTATAAGTATTCTTGAGGCTTCTCTTCAAGGTGCTGGTAGTTCCTTACAGATATGTGTGTTTTTCAAGTCTTGATTTTAAGATGTATTAGGCCTGGGGAAGTATTCAGTCCCACAACTGAGGCACAAACCTATGTTTTTGACCTTGGTGTTTTTCTTATCTAACTTTGTGTTAGTGCTTAGAATCTTATCCTAAGATTTTTTTGGGGGGATTTGAACATAGGGTCTCACTCTTGTTAGACAGGTGCTTTACCACTACCCCATCCCTTCTTCTGTGTTGGGTGTTTTTGAGATAGGGTCTCTCAAACTATTTGCTTAGGCTGACTTTGAACTGTGATCCACCTAATCTCTGCCTCTGGAGTAGCTAGGACTATAGACATAAGTCACCAATGCCCAGCCTTAAGTTTTTAAAAAAGAATATAGATGAATAGGTATGGTGATATGTTGTGCAAAAGCCCTAGAGAAATTTTTGAAATAAGGAAGTATGTAATTATTTCTTATACTTATATATATGGATTAAAATTAAAAACTAGATTGGATTTCTTCTATTATTTTTATTAATATTTATGCTTTGTTAAAGTGTTCATTTCTGTGAATTTCTGGTAAGCAAAGCATTAGAAATGCAACATTCAGCATGCTTTTAGAGATTGAAAAAGTAAACTTCTTTCTCACAAGTAGTTCAACATATAATCACACATTTTCTTCTAAATTATAGTGTTCATATTTTATTGTCAGGGAGAAGGAACTACTAATACACATGTCAAAATTAGAATCATAGAAATTAAATTAGATCCTTGTTAACAATGAAAAAAGAAAGAAAGTTATTTTTTCCCATATGTTTTGGTGAACTTTAACTTTGGTATGCATCACAAACCTGTTTAAAGTTTCTTTAATGCTTGCAATGACATTATAAAATGTGGACTCTAATAAAAATGGGTATTTATCACATTAATAATAGCGTATGCATCAATGCAATAAGGTTATGAGCATCCATTGCATTATAGAAAAGAAACAAAAACACATTTGCCTAAATGTTTCGTGCATATGTAATCAGGACAATTACTAAATGGCTGTGGTAGTTTACCCATTTATAAGTCTGGCACAGTTATTTTACTATGGCATGTTACAAATGGTATGAACCCAGGAAATTCAGTACATTAAAGGCATACTCAGTGTATGAAATGTAGCAGAGGTGGGCATGGATGGTGCCTGCCTGTGATCCCATCTACTAGTGGGGATACAGATCAGGAGAATTACTGTTTGAGGAGACCAGCCTGGGCAAAAAAGCCAACAAGACTATTTCAACAAATAGGACAGACCTTCTGTTTTGTGCCTGTGATCATAGCTATGTGGGAACCATGAATTGGTTAATTATGGCCTAAGACCAGCCTTAGGCAAAAACATGAGACCCTAGCTGAAACACAACTGAAAAAGAAAAAAGGGCTGGAGGCAAGACTCAACTGGTAGAGAACCTGCATAGCAAGCACAAGAAGCCTTTAGTTCAAACCAATACCATAAAAAAATGTACCAGAATAGATGAACAATTATAATTGTACATATTCTTGTTTGGGTAGTGGAAAAGTCATTCATGCTCTTATTTCTTAGTAGAGAAGGATGATATCTAGTTTTTCAATTGTATGTAATTATCCTAAACACAGATGTACAGATTTTGATTTCTAATAATGTATTAGAAAGCTATTCAGTATTATCAATTCATATCTATTGAAATGAAAATTCCAAACTGCCTTTACTAATTCAAATGGAAAACACTATAGTATCCTTTACCAACTTTCATAAAGATCAGGCCTGTATCTTATACATTTAAGCAGATGTTTAAAATATTCATTTAAATTTGAATGATTAAAACAAAGTTGTTCTTAGGTGGCTTTAAATGTGTTCAGATGCTGGGATCGGATCTATGGGTCTCTTGAGCAAGGTTGCTGCTGTCACCATCTTGCTCTTGACTTGGCTCCTTTCCTTGACTTAGCTTCTGTTGCTGTTAGAAAAAATTTTCATTCATTTCTACCATGTTTTCTTTTGCTCCCTTACTGAGATTTTACCACCCTTTTCTTATTTTACTTGATGTTTTTCAGCCATCTTCAATTGCTATATGCACAATCTCTGCAAGATAAACAATACTTTAGATGCTATTATTTCCATTTTACTAGGTGGCAAAACACAATTGATTAAAGAATTTAGGAAAAATTTTTCTGCACAATTTGTGCTCACTCTTAGTGGTGTTGCTCATGATGGAAGGAGTGGTTTGGCCATTTAAAAGTTGCATTCAGCTATTTCAGTTCCAAGTGTATCTCCTATATATATTCCTACAATGCTGTAGGTTCAGAAGTTGAAATAGAATTTTTTTCTTTTTCATAAGTATTATGAACATAGCTCATAATAAACGCAATGAATGAAGTGAGTAGAATTGATCCCATACATCTTTTGCAACTCTGCGTTTGGAGAACTAGTTAACTACAGCCATAGACTACCTTAATATATATACAAAAAGGCAATACAATTTGATGTTTTACTAATAGCTATTTTTTTTTCTGTTTTTCTCTTTCACAGACCACCACTTTGCAGGTATAATTTTGTGCTTAAAGAAAGACAGGAAATATTTCTTCAACCAGACACATGTACAACAGAGAATAATTAAATACCTTCTTCCATCAAATTGAAAGTTGTTTGTTAATAAAAGAACTTGTAAATAGGAATGCTGCAATCAGTCTTTTAGAATGTATTGTCCAATCTGGGATTCAGCTATATCTATTTCTTAAATAGATTTTTTGATAATCAAAATTAAGAAAGTAACTGGGTATGGTTGCATTCCTATAATCCCAGCACTTGGAAGGCTGAGGCAAGAGGATCATGAATTCTAAGTCAGCCTAGGCTACATAGTGGGTTCCAGGCCAAGCTGGGCTGTATAGTGACCTGTGGTTGAAAAATAAAAGCTAAGCAAAAGCAAACAGCCACAAAAATGATGAAAGAAAATAAAAATGAAAAATGAGCATTGTAAAGCATTCTAAATATATTCTAAAACTTGTTTATTTCTGTTTACCTTATCTGATTACTAAATCAAATGTCTACCATTGAAAGTTATCCCAGTTACCTATGTTAATATACACTAACAATTTATTTTCTAAAGGAAAAATAGGTAAGCTTAGTGTTTCACTATACTGTGTAATCAATATCAAAGTAAACCTCTGAGCATAGGTGTAAAAGGAATGAATTTTTTAATGTGCGAATTTGTCCTTTAGAGAAATAAGTTGGATTAATGTGAAGCTTGTAAATAAGAATCCTTGGTATTTTCATTAATGCTTTGTAAGTAAAGGCTTTGTTTCTATGGAGCCCAATAAATAAATAATTTATGAGTCTATGATGCTTAACATTAAATCCTGGATCCAACACTTACTAAAGATCAAATCTTGAGTTAATTTATTTCACCATGTCTCTCAGTCACCTAAAAATGTTTTGCTAAAATTGATTCAATAAAGTACTTTGAATATTATCTGTCAATAATAATAATAATATAAACAATAAGAATGCTAATACACCACTGTGTTCTTGAAACATGTTAATTCACTTAATCCTACAAAAGCTATAAAATTAGTCTTTTTATACCCATTGATAAAGAAACCAAGATGTAGAGATATAAACTACCTTGCCCAGGATCACCTGCAAAATCAGTATGCTAATGTGAGAAGTCTGAGTCCATAATCTTAATTGTTAGTTCATGTGTTTCTTGAAAGTTCAATAAGTGTATTAGGAACAAATTCAGCCATAAAAAAATGAAATGATGTCATTGTAGAAAAATGATGGAACTGGAGGTCATCATGTTGCATGAGATAAGCCAAGCTTGAGAAGTCAAATGAAATCTAGACCTAAAATGATTATGATGATAATAATTTGACATGAATGTAAAAGATGGACCCTCTAGGGAGTTAGTGGGAGGAGGAAAGGAAAGGATACTAAGGGCTGAAGAGAATCAAAGAATGTTACATATCTGTAAAAGAAGACAGCATAGTTTCGTTTGATTCTTTTTTCTGAAGTTTTTCATATCTTTGATCACCTCCTGTTTTATATTTTTTTATTTTTCATCTTTAATTCATTTATCTCTCCTTGTAAAGTGCCTTTTTTTCACTTTGGTGTTTCTTTAGGTTGTCTCTGAGTTCATTTATTTGTTTCTGTGTCTTCTCATGCTCTTTATTTTTGATGTCTTGAAATTTCTTGAGTGCATCTTGTACATTTGTTTTGGTTACCCATGTCTAGTATCTTCTCCATGAAATTCTCAGTGATTTCCTGCAATATTTCTTCTTTGAGGGTGTTTTTGTGGGCATCGCTGGGTTCCTTAGTGACATTTACCATTTTTTTTTTGAGGTCAGGAACTGGGTATCCATTTTCTTCATTTCCCTCTGAGTCCTATAGTGAATTATTTCTTTGAGGAGAGTGGTTACCATCCCTTCTTCTTCTTCTTCCCATTGTTCCACTTTGTGCTGTGTAACTATGTTTTTGATAGGCTAGTTGGTGGTTTTAATTGCCTGTTTTCTTTCCCTTGATTTAATTTTTATTTGTGACTGTCTTGGTTGTTAGCTAGATTGGTGTGCTATTTCTGTCCCTGGCCTGGAGGTGTAATTTAGCAACTAATTCACAGGTTCAATGCCTGACCAGTTGTTTATGTATCATATAGAAGACCCCTTGGTGATATTATCTAAAAACAGTGGGAGTTGGGGGGGGGTAATGCTTGTTAGACTAGCTTAGAAATTTAGGGAATTGGTTAGGGTGGCACTAAAAGGGCAGGCAGGAAGCAGGCTGAGTGAATGGGGGAAGTGATATTGGAGCTACTGGGTTTTGTGGCCCTTGTGTGTGTTTGGGTGTATTTCTGTTGTTGTACTATAAGGTGCTTGTGTCAGGGATTGCTGGGGGTTGGGGTTGTGTAAAGTTGGTATGGTGGGTAGTCAGTAGGGGTGAGTGTGTAGGAGGGAGGGGTAGTGTGATGACAGGTTGGGGAGGATAGAAAGGGGGAGGTGAAAGGATAGGGAGAGAGTTTATGAGAAGGGGCAGAAAGAGTAGTTGTGAAGGAGAATAATGAATTTTAGCACAGGAGAAGGAGGGAGAGTGAAGGGGGTAAGAATAGGAATGAGAAGATAGTGATGGTGAATTAATAATACAGAAAGAAAAAAGATAATAGAAATGAAAATAAAATAAAAATCAAAAACCCACAATAATAAAGTAAAAAACAAAACAACAAAAAAAGACAAAACAAATCAAAACAGAAAAAACTACAATAAATAAACACCAGGTTCAGGAACAATAGAATTTCAGTCTTTGGTTTAAATTCTGGAGTTATCATAGGCATATAAGCAGAAGCTCTGATGTGGTCTCACCAGGTGACTGGCTTGTGATCAGTGTTTTGTTCTTTTGTCCACCAATTTAATTAAAATTATGTGGTGAGGTAAGTTTGCCAGATAATGTAGGGTGGTTGGAGCTGTTGTTTTCCCCAGCTGACAGCTGCATTATCCTTCAGCTGCAGCTATTTGGTCAGTTCCTTCCCCAGCAAGGTGGGGCAGTTCAATTTTGAATGTTGCCCTTTGGTTCAGAAGATCAGTTCTGCCATCCACTACCTGCCCTGCTTTAGGAGGTGGCTTGTTGCACACCCCTGCTCTCAGCCTTCACTGTCTTTCATGTGTTTATTTACTGAGAGTTGAGTTCTTTGCCCTGTCCCCTTTCTCCAGGGCAGGTTCAGCTTTCTACTTAACCCCTCTGCTGTCCATGTTTGATTACAGTTCACAATTTGTTTATCAGTTTTGCTGGGGGGAGATTAGACTGCCCAGGGGCTGCACTGGTTTATGTTCCCAGGGGATGGGTAGGGGAGTCCTGCATGGTGTGTGATGCTCACCTGTTTTTAATACCAGTAGATGTGCAGGCAGGTTTGGACCTGGCGCTGGAAGCAGGGAGAAATGGCACCAACTTTTCTCAGTGCAGTGCAGTGTGGGGAGGATTTGCACTGGCTAGGGGTTCAGGATGTAGTAGAGTTTGATTCTGGTTGGTGCTTGGTTTCTGCTTGGTGGAGGAGGGAGAAGAGAAAGAAAAAAAAAAGGAGAGAGAAACCATCATGTGGAAGAAGGGTTTCCTGGGACTGGACCTACCTTGCTGGCTGTGCTGTGGGTCACAGCTGTTAGGTGCAATTACAGGCTGACTTGCAGGTCAGTCTTTGAATTTTTTCCTGCACCTAATGTGATGGCAGTTATTATTTTGACTAGAAGCAGTCAGAATTACTCACGTGTGGCTTCAACCTCTCGGGGAGGTTTCTGGAGTCACAGAGCTTAGGCTTGCTGCTTCTGTACCCTAGTTGCCATCTTGGATCCTCTGAAGACAGCATAGTGAAAACCACTAAACTGCTAAAAATGCAGGGAGGAAGGAAAGGAGAAAGGGAATATAAGGGAGGGGATGAACTTTTATGAAGTACACTGCACACATCTATGGAATTATCACAATAAAACCCCTTAAGGCTATCAATGTATGCCAATTAAAAAGTAAAATAAAAATGAAAAAAATAATTTATAAACCTCCTTGATATTCTCTAACGTAGCCTATTAAGTCTAGCAATTCCTGAATGAGAGATCTCTCTCACTTGTATGTCAAATTCCCAAAAATGTTTTTATGTATTTCTGAAGTAGACTGTCAAATACAATAAGCAGCTATGCTCTTGATTGCCTCCTATATCTGTTTGTTAGTGTTGTCATAAAAAAAAAACATAGGCTGAATGGTTTATACAATAGAAATGTATTTTCTCACAATTCTGGTGTCTGGATGTCCAAGATCAAGCAATTGGAAGGTTTAGTTTCTTAGGAGGTCTCTTTCCTTAGCTCATAGATGGCCACCATCTTGCTGTGTCTTCATATGGGTTTTCCTCTGAGTTTATGTCTCCCAGGTGTCTCTGTTTCCAACTTTCCACTTGTTATAAGATTGCCAGTCAAATTGGATTGGGTCCCACCCCAATAGCTTCATTTTAATTAATCATCTCTTCAAAGGTCCTTTCTCTGAATCACACTTGGAGGGAGTGAGGACCCAAGATTTCAACATATGCATTATGAGGGTAGCACATGAGCATGTAACACCTGCCAGGGCCTGTTTGACCCATCATGGTGTCATTTCTTAATAGTCCATTTGAAGGTGAATTGGGGCTTTTGTTTTTGTTGTCCACCAAAAAATGTTGTATGAAGATCCTAGTGGTATTAAATATGTGTTATAGGCAGCAACAAAAAGACTCCTCACTTTTTAACCTAGGGATTTAAGAAGTACTGTCTGTACCTCCCATACCTGACAGCCCTTTGTGCAAACAGCTACTTCTTTTTCTGTGGCCCTTCACTCCACAGGCCGCTGACTGTGATCCACAGAAACACCTCTCCTCTCTACCATCTTTGCTCATAAGCTCCCCATATTCTTAAATATAAACATCAAATTATTATGTGATTTCATTTTCCTAATGTCCCTTAATAAGTTTACCAGCTGTCCCTAGAAGCTCTTAAACCTCAATTTTGCATTAGTGAAATTTAAAATGAAGCAAAAATGCACGGTCAATATGCTATCAGGAACAGCAATCTATTTTAGTACTCCCAATTGCTTAGGGCCTTTGGATAAGAGAGAAAATAGTGG